GAGTTCCCCAGCCAGCATGGCTGGCCGGGGAACTCTGGGAGTTGAAGTCCATACCTCTTAAAGCAGCCAAGTTTGAAAAACACTGCTGTAGATGGAAGAGAGCTGGAAAACACAATGACTCTCTGAGATTTTATGCCAGAGTTCTAAGAGTCAGGGAGTTGGATAAAAAGACACAATTGCATGTAGGAGTCCAGTGACTATCCAGTTGAGCAATACAGCAAAATACAGCTTAGCATAGTAAAAAAAAGGTTGGCCGTGAACAGTACCATTCCTATTTTATAGATGGCTTGATCGGTAATGTGGATTGGAAAAGCTGGGAAGCCGCCTTGTAATACTGCAAGTGCCGTGATATTAAAACCCTTTCGTTGGGTGTACAACCAGCGTTCTTTACAAAAAATTCAAAGTGGTCAGCAAATGTGCAACAATGCTGATCTCCCTTCCCCTCCCCTTTGCATTAGGGTCCAGGAGCAAGCCACGAATGGGGGATTTTGCAGGCACTGGGGCAGTCCCTGATGTTCTTTTCTTTTTCCTTCAGGGTTTCATTCCCATGACGGTCCCAGATTTGCTTAAAGGAGCTGTGTTTGTGAGTATCCCACCTTTTGCTCCATTCTGGGCACTCCAAAAGCTCATAAATCATTCTTCCCAGGCATGCCGCTGTGTGCATCATAGAGCTGTTGTCTTCAGCCCAGATGGCTGAAGCATTTGTGGTTTTTGTGAATCGGATCCTACGGAGTGTGTCTTGCATTCTTCCACCTTTATGAGATTAGTAAGATGGGTTGTTGCTTTGTTAAGACGTTGGTAACTAGCAGGGTTCCTGTGGGTGACAGTATGGATGTCCTGAGTAGAAACCTGGAGGAGCTTAAATCAGTGATATGGATTAGGAAGACATGGATTTCGGTCTGGAGCCTGCCCTTAGAAGTTCACTCCCGGTCTTAATCCTTCCTTCTCCCTGCCCGAAATTTCCTCGGTCAACTTACTGTAGTGTCTCCCAACTTGGAAAAGTTCCAGAGGTGCAGAACTCCCCAGCCAGCATGCCCTTGCTGAGAAATCTGGACGTTGAAATCCATGCATTTGGAAGGAACCATAGTGGGGGAATGTGGGCTGAATGCACCTTGTGGTCTCTTTCCTACCCAGGAGTGAACTAGATGCTTCTGGCCCACAAGTTGATTGTTCATTGTGGTGCACTTGACCCTGCTGTCTTCTGTTTATCAGGAAGGCTGTGGCATATTACCTGAAGCCCATTCCTCCCTGGTGTATAGCATAGACCCTTCCCGGTTTGAGGATCTGAACTTGGCAGGAACATCCGAAGTTGGAATTGCAGGTACGGTTGAAATGGTAGAGCCTTCCAGCCTGTGGTCGAGGATGAATTTTGGGGTGATGTGTCTCAGCTTCTTCCTTAAAGTGTTTTCCTGCTTCTTCCCACATTCCCAATATAGGTGATACATTTAGGTTGTTTGTAACTTTCCCTTTTTTTGTTTCTAGTTGTCTTGTTAATGTTTATCCGTTATGTTTTCTAATATTTTGTCTTTCTGGTTACTCTTTTTCAAACTTATAATAAGAATTAAAAATAGCTCACACACTTTTTAAAGTAGTTCCCACAAGGATTTTTTTTTTTAAAAAAACATACATTAAGTTAATGATTCTTTTGTAACATGGATAAAGATATTCTTGAATGAAATGAGAACATTTTGGTCCCTATACCTTAAATCAGTGTTGTCCAAACTTGGCCACTCTTAAATTAGGAGGATTTTTAAACCCCATACACCCCACCCCCCACACCCCCACCCGCGCGACTTATCTGTGTGCGGGACAACC